ACAACCTGGCAACTGACAGCTAAAATACCCCAGTTGGGCTAGAAAATCGCATACTTGACATGTGCCTCCTGTGCCTAATTGGAAATCCGGCCCTGTATATAGGCAGAATCCTGTATTGCTTAGAGGAAAATTGGAAACCTAATGGAAATCTGTTTCCATATGTGTTTTCCTAACAACGTGATGGAAGACCACTGCTGAATAATTTGTAAGTGGACTGGACAAAGCACTCCTGTAGGGAAAAATCCTGCACTGGCACATAACCTAAGAAGTCCCCCCCCCCTTTTCTGATTTCGGTATTTCTGTGAAATTGAAATCATTGGAAGTGGCAAGTACCTGTCTGAGGCTAAAATTTGCCTATTAGAATTTTTATTCCTGTCCAAAAACATTTTACCTAAAAGCCTTGAGCCTGCATTATGATCAGTCTTTACATGACTGCATACTATTTTTTCTACATGAACCCTGCCTCATTCAATGTACATGATGGATGCATCGGGGGATGAGGAGGTCAGAATTAAGGCTTCACAAGCTACCTTATATCCACTATCTCCTAATTTTCAAATGCTTGACTTTGCAACCTAAATAATATTTTTTGACTTAGTTTTGTTGTATGTAGTTGAGGAGACTGAGGGAAATGTGTAGTAGTTGTTATAAATATTATATGCCTCTCAGGTTATCTGTTTGATGTTAACCTGCCTGAATGTCAGGAGTTAAATCAAAGTAGTCTGTAAAGGAGAAAAACCACAGGAAACAAAACAATGGCAAAGATAATCTGGCTTCTTGAAGAAACTATCAAATTGAGGAATACCTGCTGTCTGTCTCCATCCAGTCTAAAATGGTTTACTCTTCCTACAAATAACTTTGTTTCAATCATGTCTAGATGTGTTTGGGAAAAATTTGCCAAGTTTAAGTTCCAAGTTAGAATTTCAGTTTACATTTAGTTTTAACTAAAACTCTTCTTAAGAACGTTAGTTCTTTGAGTGTCTGAAGAAGCTCTTATTTTGTTTTTTGATTTTTTTATAGAGAAACTCCTATTCAATTTCTTAATTGTTACATTTTTTTCTTTTCTGCAGTGAAACATATCTGCTGCTTCAGAACACATAGCCAAAACCTCTAACTTGGGTTAAAGCAACTGGTAGATCCATTTATAGGACTAGTAACAGAGGAAGGTACCAGAACCTTAGGATATGGATTAAGGAATTCTGAAAGACAAAAGACAAAGCCTAAAACCAACTGGTTGCTAGACTTGGAGATGCATAAGCCATCATGAAGGCTTGAAGAAGTAGAGGAGGAGCTCTAGGATCCACACTGTTAAATATGTTAGTATGTTGCCATAATTATCTAATTTTCCCTACTTTCCCCTACACCTAGGAAGTCTACTTGGAGAACAGAACATGAGGCTGATAATCATTGTAGCCAGATGATATATATTTTTGTGTTTTGTTATTTTTTAAAAAAGATTACCGTATATATTCGTTCATAAGCTGAATATTTTTGGTAAAAAAGTGACGCATCAAAGAGCGGGGGTCGGCTTATAAACGGGTCTACATCAAAATTTGATGACTTTAAACTCTATGGAATTGAATATCTAATTCATTGTCGTTTTGTTTACCTGGAGCGTCTGCAGGCATGGAGCCCCTCAGCTCCCTGTGCCCGTGGTTTGCTGTTCCCAGCCAATGGGAGCTGCGGGAAGTGGCGTGCTCTTTCCCATTGGCTGGGATCGGTGAACAGCCGCCACAGGGAGCTGAGAGGCTCCATGCCTGCAAACATTGCAACTAAACAAAACGTCCCAACCTGCCAGCAGCTTACCCTGACGGGCCGGTAGCCAAAGTTTTCCAACCCCTGAAATATAGGGTCGGCTTATGAAAGGGTCATACAGTTTTTGCTATTTTTAACTTATCCATTTTGGGTCGTCGGCTTATAAACGAACCGGCTAATGAACGATTATATACGGTATGTCTCTTCTTGGCAATGCTGGTTTGGCCATTTTGTTGCTATAACATCTTCACTCTAAAGTTAAAGAGAAGTAAAGTTCATTCATTTCTCCTGTTCATGTACTAGGATTATGAAGTAGTAGCAGTATAGCAATTGCAGGCTATGGGGATTTGAGTGACTGTGTAATGAATATTCTAAAATAACAGAAAATTCAATACCGCTTACTTGCCAAAATCTGTTTCTTTGCAGTGGACCCTTTAAAAATCATGCAGTGACATTTGCAGACTATACACCTACAGTATTAAATAAACCATACAAGTTCTTGATGACAATGCCTACAACCAACCCTACGTTAGTATATACCAACTTTGACATTTTAGTCAACAGTCGTCACTGAGATCTCAGCTCAAGCATATGCAGGCACAATGCTTAGCCATTCATACTAGCTTTGAGAATAGGTGTTTCTAGGCACAGTATCAGTCATGGTATTTTCAATTTGCTGAGTCAAGATGTTTTTAATACAGTTTGACATGGTGATGGACATAGAAGAGCAGCATTGTTTAAGAACATAAAAAAATGTTAGGAAGAGGAAATGGCCATCCAGCCCAGCATGCCTATCCCTTCTTGTTGTTTATTTTAATGTTTACTCCTCAGCTTTTTTTAACCATAGCCATTGATTCCCTTCTTCTCCATAAACAAATGCAGGTGTCTCCTGAACTCCTTAATGCCCTTTATTTAACTGGATTTCCTACTATCTTATTCCATATGTTTATTGTGTGAAATAATTTGGCCTGAGTTCACGTGCTTTATGACTTGCTTCCTAATTTTTAGGAATGGCCCCTAGTTCTTTTTCTTTCTTATATGCTGATGATGAGAGGAGGAATTCCAAGGCTGACCTGTTTATGGCAGGTCTGACAATGTAACAGTGTTCTGGTATCCCCTCTAGAATATATTTAACGGTTAGGATAGTGATGGTAATTTACAGGAACCACGTGTGTAGGGGTAAATGAAATATTATACTGATTTTTCTGCTAGCCCACGAGAGTGTATTCTTGATTAAAATATTCTAGATGGCTAGATGTTTGCTCTACCTGGTGCCTCTTTTCTAGTTAAAATCATGTTTTTCTTGTAAAGCACTTTTTAAGATCCTAAGTGAGAAGACAAGTATCAGGGGGTAGCCGTGTTAGTCTGTATCTACAAAAACAACAAGGAGTCTGGTGGCACCTTAAAGACTAACAGATTTATTTGGGCATAAGCTTTCGTGGGTAAAAACCTCACTTCTTCGGATGCATCCGAAGGTTAGAGGTTTTTACCCACGGAAGCTTATGCCAAATAAATCTGTTAGTCTTTAAGGTGCCACCAGACTCCTTGTTGTTTAAGTGAGAAGACATAACTTCATTTATTAGGAATCTTTACTGAAAATTGATACTTTTACTTTGAAAAAAATGTAGGTTTGGCAATAATAATTTTAAGGACTTTTATGATCCATAAATAGCATAGTGAACATGTGCAGTGTATTGTTTGCATTCATTTAAGCAGGATACACCTTAATATATGCTTCTAAATGTTTCCAGGTGTGGCAATATCAAAGCTGGTACTTACATGCATTTGATTTTACTATTATTCTAGTAAATACAAATGGTTGTGTTTGAGTTTATAATGTGGGAAGAGCGGCAGGTGAGCTTTCTAAATATTAAGATGAGAACCAATTCAGAGGGCATTGCGTAATTTGAATCTTCTACTTGGGTAGTAAATTCATCTAATTGCTGATGCATCAACTGCATTCTGGGATGAATAAATTACAGGAGTCCTAGTAAATTTCAATTAAAGAGAAAGTGAATTATTTCTTTGAAGCAGATAGCTTTTCTGGAGTAAGTGTGTCTGATTTTGTCTAGTTTTAAAAGCTAAACAGTTTTGGTCTTGGATAGTATTCGGCAGTGAACCATATGAACATAGTTGTTCAGGTTTGTTGGGTTTCTGTGATGGCAATATCTTCTAAGATCTTGGCGTGATTCCTACTTCTGTTTTTGTATATCTATAACAAGAAAGATTACTAGCCTGTGGCCAAAATACCATGGACTCTGGTCTTGTCAAATCTTATAAACTAAGCAGAGTTGGGCCTGGTCAATACTTGAACGGGAGGCCTCAAAGGTAAAAGAGTCCATAAACATTTTTGTTGTTTTTTGCACTTGCATTTTAATCTCGTTTTCTCCGGGACTGCACTTCTCCTCTTACCTTTTTATTTATATTTTTTATCTTATTTTTCTCACTACATTTTCTATTTAAAAGAAAATTGAGGCAGGGATTTTAATTGAATATAATATGACAATTGTCAATGAAGGTTATAGGAAAAAGTGCATAATATCATATTTTGTTACTATTAAATAGTATTATCCAGTGTTGTGATCATATGAAAAGCAGGGTAATTCCCACATACAGAGTTGTGCAACCATTAACTACATTCCCTAATGTATGTACAGTAGAACCTCAGAGTTACGAACTGATTGGTCAGCCACACACCTCATTTGGAACCAGAAATACTTAGGGTTGCCTATTTTCTAATCGCACAAACCTTAACATCCTTGTCCCGTCGCTTGCCCCACCCCTTCTCAGAGGCCCCCCTACTCACTCCATCCCCCCTCCCTCCATCACTCGCTGTTCCCCACCCTCACTCACTTTCTCTGGGCTGGGGCAGGGGTTGGGGTACGGAGGGCTCTGGCTGGGGTGCAGGCTCCAGAGTGGGGTTAGAAATAAGGGGTTCAGGGTGTGGGCTCTGGGCAGGGGGTTGGGGTGTGGGAGGGGGTGAGGGCTCTGGCTGGGGGTATGGACTCTGGGGTGGGTCTGTGGATGAGAGGTTTGGGGTGTAAGTGAGGGCTCTGAGCTGGGACCGAGGGGTTCAGACTGCAGGAGGGGGCTTAGGGCTGGGGCAGGGGGTTGGGGTGTGGGAGGTAGTTTGGGGTGCAAACTTTGGGAGGGAGTTTGGGTGTGGGAGGGGGCTCAGGGCTGGGCAGGGAGTTGGGGTGCAGGAGGGGGTGCGGGCTGCGGGAGGGAGTTTGGGTGCAGGAGAGGGCTCAGGGCTGGGGTTGTGGTGTGGGAGGGTGCGGGCTCCAGCTGTGTGGCACTTACCTTGCGCAGCTCCCAGAAATGGCCAGCATGTCCTAGGCTCAGGGTGGCTCTGTGCGCTGCCCCTGCCTGCAGGCACCACCCCCGCAGGGTTGGCAACCCAGTGTAGCAGAGACAAAAGCAAATACAGTACAGTACTGTGTTAAAAGTAAACTACTAAAAAATAAAGGGAAAGTTTAAAAAAAAAGATTTGACAAGATAAGGAAACTGTGCTTGTTTCATTTAAATTAAGATGGTTAAAAGCAGTATTTTTGTTCTGCATAGTAAAGCTTCAAAGCTGTATTAAGTCAACGTTCAGTTGTAAACTTTTGAAAGAACCACCCATAATGCTTTGTCCAGAGTTATTAACATTTCTGAGTTACGAACAACCTCCATTTCGAGGTGTTCATAACTCTGAGGTTCTACTGTATTGAAATTCTCCAACTGAATGTTTGTTTAAAGCAACTTTTACATATAATATATAAAATTGTTCAATTTAAATGTTTGAACACTTCAAAAATATCTAAAGAACAATCTGGTGGCTCAGTGTATTTTGACAGTAGAATAAAAACACCTCCTTTGTCTTGCTAGCCAAGACCATGAGAGATTACAGAAGTCTTTGCTCTTGCTTCTCTTCTGTTACTTTGGTTGCCTTTTTTAAGAACACTGGAACTTTTCATAGGCCAATCTGGGACGATGAATCCACTCATGGTCCCCTGCAGCTTCCTGAAAAGATACTTGAATATGACTGAAAAGATAAGCTGATGGAAGGATGTAATGTTATGAAAATTTGGCATTTTGTGATTTGAGCTTCACTGCAGGTCACTCTTAAGCTAACAGATATTATACAGAAGACAAGCATTTGTTGATGATGCCTACAATTGTCAGTAGATGACATCCCTTCATAACGAAGCATGCAAACTTAACTTAGCATGGGTCACGACTAAGATGATCTTCTTACCCAGAAATTCAGCAAATGACATTTCTTCTGTATTAGTCTAAACCTATATTTGGTTGTTCAAAAACTGTTCAAAAATGGCATCCCAACCTGTGAGAAAGCATAATGCTACTCTGACAGATGGGGCGAGAACCAATGTATGCATCAAGGGGTTAGATTTCTCTCCGGTATTGTTGAAATACCAGTACAGGCAAAGCTTCTGTATCTGAGGCTCACATGTTTCTTGGCAACGACCAAAGTTCCTGCTAAATATTTTGGCACAGTACTCACGGAAGCTCAGTGAATTTTCATGGCTTCCATGAGGTTTCCACACTATGGGAGCCCATATATAATTTCTGCTAACCATGGCCCTATGAATATCAACAGAAGAGGGAATATATTTTGCAAATTGTTCTTTCTTAATAATAGATTTAAAAACTCTTAAAATGCAATCATAGCTTTCATGGACTATGACTCTTTTTATTAGTTAATGGTTGGTTTATCCTGGTCTGAGAGCAATAGAAAGCGTGGTTTGGCAATCAACCCAAACTGCCTATGTCACAGTTTAAAACTTCATTCTGTTTGTTTCTCATATTTTAATACTTTTTATTTAAAATAAATTCTGGATTCCACTCACCCTTCAGTACTTCATCAAGAAATTAGGTTGCTGTGTGATCCTATGTATGAATTAGTGGACTAATATTAACTCAAGGGCATTCCTTTCTTTTGCTGAAGGTAATTCTGCATGGTTTATTTCAGTTTATTTACTTTTTTCCTGCAGAATTACTGTAAAAGTTTTCTATTTCATCCATTACAGCACAGTGTTTTTCACTTTTGAATAACTGCATCAACATGAATCCTTTATAAGGACCTTAAAAACAAACTTTGCCAAGTCCCAGAATACAGAAGCTAATTCACATCCCAATACTCAGCTGCCTCATGAATAAAGGAGAGTCTGTGCCTGACACTTTGAAGCTGTAGCTGTTAAACCATACAGAATATTTACCTCAATAAATCATTATAAGAAACTAAGGTACAATTATACCCACAGAGAAATAGAATTCAAAACACTGATTTATGTGGTTCAGTGCCTGTTCCCTTTTCCATCATGTTTTGAATTTTATGCATGTTTGTCATCTTTGGCTGTTTCCATGTATCTTTAAACTAATGGGTCCTGCTTTTTTAACATTCCTCATTAGGTTTGTTATTTTACTTTGACATACTGACGTGATTTGCACAGTGTACAAAGTTTTGCATTTAAAATTATCTCATTTCTTATGGTATAAACCAAAAATAGAAAATGAGACTAATTTGTTTAGGCTAATAAAGAGCCCACTCTGCTTAATTTGTGACCATTCAGGGTGAAATTCCATATTAGTTAAGGCTTTTATTTGGCTCCTAGTTGCGGGATCTGGGGAAAGAGTACAACAATCAAGGAACAGGAACACACCACTGTCCCTTTAAGAAAGTGGCCACTATTCTAGAGTGTTAAAGAGACAGAAGCAATATAAAATGTCATTTGACTGGTGTTGGAATTCCCTCCTCCCCCTGAATGGGGAAAATAAAGCTGAAAGAAAGAAACAAAACAAAATAAAAACCCATGGCCATATGAAGGAATGGCACTGAAACCGATAAATGTGAAATGGCAGCAGGAAGGTAAATTACATACGGCAAGAGGAGTCTGAAATCAACCGCAGAATCTATGAGGCCACCCACGCCTTGAAGAGGATGAATGGATATGTAGTGCTGTGCTGCAGGGCAAGAGGGTGGAGAGTGATTTAATAACTAGTAAATGTTCCTTAATAAACTTTTTAAAAAATAAAAGTTTTAAATAGAAATATATTTAGAGTCTCTCTTTTTCTCTTGACTCTCTGAACTATTTATTTATTTATTTTGACTTGTATTAGTAGCACCTAGAAGCCCCAAACAGGTTTGGTGCCCCTTCGTGTTAGGTGTTGTACAAACACATAGTAAGTGTATCCAAAAACTATGCTTTTACCTTTCTGCTAATGTTTAGCCCTAACATTCAAATGGATTTATGGAAGGGAGATGTATCATAGTAGCACCCACTAATACTGCAGTGGTTTAAGTTGTGGTAGCACTTTGATTATCATCCCTTATTACTGCAATTGGAGCCGGTTTAAATCCACATTTAAATTACTTTTGAACTGAATCTTAGTATGGAAGCTTTTAGCTCATGGATGAGATTTTTTTCACTAAATACAAATAAATTTAATTACATTTTGAAATAGATACATTTGTAAATTACACTTTTGGTCATTTCACACTTTTTTCATCTGAGATTTAGCAAATCATCAAGTTAATATCTGTACCAAATTTTCAAAAGGCCCTCAATCTGACCTCCGACCATGTGCACAAAAAACAGTGCACAGAATTATTTGCTTGCAGTTTTGCATGCACTATAATTTGTGTGAGCAGATCAAATTTGCACTTACCACCTGCATATGAATGTGTTTACCCATATAAATCCTCTTGTTGCATTTAAATTATTATTTGTATGAGGAAAAAATAATACAGAGAATTCCACGTGCAAACAGTTGGAAGCCACATTTAGGAACTTGTGGCCTGTTAAGTCCCATTGCTCAGTGTTCTGGGAACCTATATCACATTACTTTACAATCTGATTAGTATTTAAAATGTTTCTGTGCCATTGTCTACATATAATGATTTTTTGTGTGCTTAGACCAAGGTGGTAGGGTCCTTAGAAATAGGTATGTTAGATAAGATTTAATAATCCATAAATATTGCCAAATAACATTGTATTGCCACCTGTTGTGTTCATGTAATGAAAAAATTCATGTACTATCACACAAAGGGGCATGGTTTAAAGATGTGGAAGCAGAAACTCATGACGAGTTAGCCCCAGAAAAGTGAGAGATACTTAAGTTCATTATCAAGTTTTATTTTTCATGGACTCTATATAGATCTGCTGAACTCTGTAAAATAAGACTCATAGAATACATAAATATTTGTTTTTCTACTGTGCTTAGCACAATGCAGCCCAGATGCATGACTGGCACTTTAGGCACCATTGTAATACAATTAATGTGTAATAATGTCAACAAAATTTAGATATTTTCAGAAAGTAAAATTTCAGACAATTTTATTGTCCAACATTAAATTATTATATTTCAACACAAGTTTTATTTATACTGTACAGTGGTTTTAGCAAAGCATAATTATACTCTATAAAATATTGAAATTTTAATTGTATTTTAAAACAAAATTAAAGGAGGCTTTTAAAATGTTTAAAATGTCAAGTGTTTACCCCCAAGTCAATGGGCTCAGAGGGCTGGTATGGGGATTCAGAGCCTTTCAGTTTTTCTAGGCCTCAAGTTCTAATACAACCCAGGCCTCAGTTAACCAAAGCTGTTATCTTCTGCCGGCAGTTTGGTGGACAGTGAAAAGAATTTGGTCATCTCAGTCCAATTTGAGTTACAGAAAAATTTACTACCAGAAATGGCATTCTTGTTGACAGAAATGCCAAGCATTGACTGTCAAGAAAACACAACTACATTTTCATCCATTGAGGTGGTCCCTTGAGGGGTGAGGAAGCTGCTGCCTGTGTGATACTTGTTTCGTGGATAGATGGGAAACTTGAGTCTCCCAGGCTGTCAAATCTGGAACCTTTCAACAGCTCTAAAATATTAAGAGTCACACATTAATCTTTTTAAATTAGTCAAATCCTTTTAACATGGAACATATCTAAGCCCAGTTCTACATACAGTTTTTGGTTTTATACTACAACCCAGTATATAGTAAATATTTTGGTTAAGATGTGAGCTTCTACCAAAAGAGTTATACAGGTACCACCCAATTGTGAATGCAGTTATACTGGTATAAAGGTGCCATGTACCAACATAGCTTGTTCTCCTTCCCCAGAAGGAGCAGAAATAGCTCTACCAGTATAAAGAACATCTAAAGAACTGCATTTGCACTTGGGGGTTTGTGTTTTGTTGGGGTTTTTTTAATGCTTTAACTTTATTGATGTAATTAAAGTGGTATCACTTTTGCATGTAGACAAGTCTTAAGCATAGCTTGAACAAAGAAAGAGAAAACAGCTGTTTTATATAAGCAAGAAGGCTTATGGCTGCAGACTTGCTGTCATACAATCTGGGAGAGCTTTTTTTTATTTTTATTTTTTTTAAGGGTTACCAGTTGTCTTCGGGGACTAAAATTATGCACCTCCCATTTAAATCAACAGAAGTTTTGGCTGAGTAAGGAGGACAAGATTAGCCCCAATAGAGTTGTATGGATGTCAGTGATTGCCAAATTTAGTTCCTTGAACCTATTTGATGGAGCCATCAAACATCATTTGCGGTAGCCAACTTGAATAGGTAGTGATGGTGGAGGAATGCAGTCGTCCTAGAGATGGTACTGTATTGGTGATATCGAGATTCATTAACAAGGAACATTGGATTTTAGTACAATCATTGTAGCAATTCATCATCTTTTAGCATTCAGCTTTCATTCATTGAAAGTTTAAATTGTTATTGGGATCAAAGCGTTTTAATTTGACCATTGATTATTCAGTAGAATCCAATGATTATGGATATTGGTGTATGAATGAATAGAGCAGGGGTCGGCAACATTTGGCACGCGGCTCGCAGGGTTAGCACCCTGGCAGGGCGGGCCAGTTTATTTACTTGCTGACGAGGCAGGTTCGGCCGATCGCGGCCTCCACTGGCCGTGGTTCGCCGTCCCAGGCCAGTGGGGGCTGCGGGAAGCGGCGCGGGCGAGGGATGTGCTGGCTGCGGCTTCCCGCCGCCCCCATTGGCCCGGGACGGCGAACCGCAGCCAGAAGGGGCCGCGATCGGCCAAACCTGTCGCGTCAGCAGGTAAATAAACTGGCCCGGCCCGCCAGGGTGCTTACCCTGGCGAGCCGCGTGCCAAACATTGCTGACCCCTGGTCTATGCTACATTTTGTACGCATGTTAATTTTATTTCTTAGAAACAAAATTGTCTCAGTTTTGGTGTCTTTGATAAGATTCAGTGTGGCTAAACAGCAGTGGAGTTTAGGATGGTCTAGTGGTAAAGACAGAGGCTGAGGAATGAAGATATCAGGGTATTGCTTGCAACTCTGCTACAGATATCGTTTGTGACCTTAGGTTTCCCTCTATGTAAAATGGGGATAATACTTACAATATGTCACAGGATACACAAGGCTTATTTCATTATTATTTCTGTGGTGTCCATACACTACAATGATTTTAAATGCATTTGTGATGTTGCTGTAGGGTGTTGGGTTCCGAGCAACATTTGTAAAAGTGAAGAACTATCCCAAAAGGAGTGGTCTTGGGAAAATAAGCGATACCGTCTTTCAACAACCCAAATTTGTTGTGATTGAAAACACTGTTGTTGAAAGCACCTTAAACAATGAAGTTTCAGGTGTAGCGCCATCTGGACACTTAAAACTATTTGGGCAATCTCATTCTACTGTGAGGAGTGCCATAAAAATGCTGAGCATTTCAGTAGAGTGACTGTTTTGACTTGGGTATTTTGTGAGATGTCTAATACATCTTTGAAAACTTGGAAAAATTGATATCAGTTAGATAAATCACTGTAATATACAGCAGGGCTTGGATGGTGGGGTGGGAGGGGGAGTAGGGCAAGTTGTCTCACAGAGGCAGGAGGAGGGCAAGGAACATAGGTCCAGGAAACAAGTCACTTGATTATATGTCACTTGCTCATGCATTCAAGCTAGTGGTTGTGGGCACGACGTTCCCTGTTCCTGATGTTTCTGTCTAAGAGGCTTATTTTCCCACTTCATGGTGTCTCCTTCTGAAACACAGTCAAGAACTCCTCTTGGTGTCCGCTTCTTCCTTCTCAGATTGCTGATTGTGGGCCTGGATTCTGTTATCTAGAAACCCTTTGACAAAATACTGCTTAGTGATACATCAGTACTTCCTCAACAACTTCACTGGAGGACTCCACTGCAGAGGGAAGGAGGGGATGAAGGGAAAGTTTAAAAACCTAGTTAGAATGAATATAGCTGTTCCATATTTGCCATATACTGAACTGATATGCATGATGATGGAAGATAAGTTGTAAGTTACCATTATTTAACTTGCCCTTGGGTTTTCCTTTTTTGTTTTATGGATGTTTAGAATGCTTGCAATGTTTGCTTGTTTTTTTTAATGTGCAGTTTGGGTAAACATTGAATTTAAATTCCTTTTGCAAATTTGAGAGAGGCTTTTTTTCAGTGTGAAATTTTACACAGATTCTTGCCATGTTTACTCCAGGATAACTAGAACCTTCCCATTATTCATATAAAATGATGGGGTCTAAATTAGCTGTTACCACTCAAAAAAGAGATCTTGGAGTCATTGTGCATAGTTCTCTGAAAACATCCACTCAATGTGCAGCGGCAGTCAAAAAAGTGAACAGAACGGTAAGAATGATTAAGAAAGGAATAGATAATAAGACAGATTTATATAGAGGCAATATGATATTTTCTATGATACCCCCGCATCTTGAATACTGTGCCCCATCTCAAAAAAGATATATTGGAATTGGGAAAGGTTCAGAAAAGGACAACAAAAATGATTAGGGGTATGGCACAGCTTCCATATGAGGAGAGATTAATAAGACTAGACCTTTTCATCTTGGAAAACAGATGACAAAAGGGGGATATGATGGAGGTCTATAAAATCATGACTGATGTGGAGAAAGTAAATAAGGAAGTATTATTTACTCCTCACTGACACAAGAACTAGGGGTCATCAAATGA